GAAGAAGAAGAAGAAGAAGAAGAAGAAGAAGAAGAAGAAGAAGAAGAAGAAGAAGAAGAAGAAGAAGAAGAAGAAGAAGAAGAAGAAGAAGTTGTTCAGTTCTAAAAGCTCTGCAGAGTGTGACTCGAAAAGCATGTGGCTGGATAACCCAGAGGGCAGGAGCGAGGCCGGCCGGTGGCTGGTACTCACCGTGGTGGTGGTGGTCACCTCTTCAGTCACCACCTTCAGAGTATCGACCACAGAGATGTAGCCCAGGCGCTTCGCAATCGCCAAGGCGGTGTTACCATTCTGAAGAGAGAGAGAGAGAGAGGAGAGAGGGAAAAGGAGAGTGAGAACCGAGAGGGAGGACTGTGATGGGGAGCCAATGAGATCACCCGAGCAGCGGCGTGAGCCAGCATTTCCTTCCAAAACAAGGCACGGCTCGGGGAAAATCACTAGTTTTTACCATTACATCTAAATCTGTCTTTGTAACTTCTTCAGACTATAGCCCAGGTCACCATGGTAACACAACAAGCTTGCATCTGCTTGCTCTTTTTTAATAAGAAGCACTTGATGCTTTAACCCCTAAGGTGGTCACACATCTTCTGCAAATGCTCTACTAAGCTTTAGGAAAGTACCTCCGGCCCTGAGGATGATATTCCCTGCTCCCTGCTCCCCAAAGTACTGGGGGAATACCAGTACCCTTACTCCTCACCAGGGGTCAGTGAGGTCAGCTCAGAGGTGCCCCCTTCCGCCCCCCAGCAAAGGACAGGGTAACAGATTGGACTTACAGCTGTGCAAGAGCTAAGTATGCAGGCAAATAACACAAGCAAGCAATTCAAGCAGCCTCCAGCCCAGGCCCAGAGCGTGGGATCCCCGGGTTTGTTTAATTACACCACTTAGTTTACATTTCAATGGCTCCACATCCCAATGAGCTTTGTCTGAGCCAGCAGCAGCAGCAGCAGCAGCAGCAGCAGCAGCAGCAGCTCCGACATGGGGCTCCCTTAAGAAAGCAGAGAAGGCGGGGAGCGTCTGTGCTCACATCTGAGAGCCAGCTGTAAGCAGAGAACTCCCAGAATGCTGAGCACAGGGCCCCCCCACTCTCCTGAGAGCCAACTTGAATCTTGCCAAATGGTGAGTCCCTTCCTGGGCTAACAGTCCTGGGAAGTCACACTGGTTTGCCAGAAATCTGGGGCTTTCCACAGTCCAGGAGGTTACTTAAGGAGGCTGGATGAGAACTTAGCTCAGACAAGAGGCCACCGATGCAAGAGAGGAAGAAAGAGAAGGCTGGCAGGGAGGCTCTGCTTACCGCGGTGGTGGCATTGGGCTTGGCGCCATGCTGGAGCAGGACATTGATGATGTGCGTGTGGCCTTGCTGGGCAGCCTGGTGCAAAGGTGTGTAGCCGTTCTGTGGATGATAGGCCCCGGGGAGAAGGAAAGTAGGTTAGCCTTCGTTTTCCATTTTCTAGTCTTACTGACAACAAAACCATCAAATGATGTTTTGTTTATTCGGAGCCCCATTTTCCCAGCAACCCAATGCTCAGCAGCAGGCCCTCCCTCACACCTTCTGCTGTGCTAAACAAAGCAAAAGCCTCACTTACGAAACACAAGAGAAGCAGACTCCAAATGATTCTAACCCTTAGGTATATTTTTCTCACCAATTAGCATTAAACATGAGAATGCCATGGAGATTTAAAAATGGGAAAGGACATTATACATGCAATTTTTTTCCTAGAAAACTTGTAAGGTAAGCTAGTTTTTCATTGCCGATTTAAGGGCTGTGGATAGTATAATATCCACTGCTTGTTCACCGTAAATCTAACAATGAAATTTTGTGTTCGTTTTCGTACTTTTTTTTCTATTCCAGTGCTGGGGCTTGAACTTAGGGTCTTGGTGCTGCGTCTGAAGCTTTTTCACTCAAGGCTAGCACTCTACCACTTGAGACACACCCCCACTTCTAACTTTTAGCTGGTTAATTGGAGATAAGAGTCTCTGAGATTTGTCTGTCCAGGCTGGCTTTGCACCTTGATGCTCAGATCTCAGCCTCCCAAGTAGCAAATTATAATCATGAACCATCAGTGCCAAGCCTTATTAGCATCTTGAGTGATGTTTTTGAAAACTTCTGAATGTGCTCAATAAGTTACATCAATCAGCCCGAGTGGAACTAGGAATTCCTGATTTGTGAGTTTGAAAACAGAGCATACCATATATTTCTTTGGATTAAAGAACTGGGAGTCTCCAAGTTACATTGTATGTTGATAGGAGTAGGTAGAGCATGCATATCTCTTCAACTTGAACTAATCTGGGTACACTGAGCTGGGAGGTGATGTTCCGAACTTGCTTTGCTGAAGCAGATCATTTCAGTGTACTGGGAAAAACTGTTGTGATCAAGTCAGCTCTCCATTCTCCTTGAGAACTTCTGGATCTGGCCCCATATGCCATTATATCTTACAGTAAATTGTTAAATCGATGTCAGCTACTTGAACTTTATAATGAAGCAGTTCAGCCACTAACCTACATGGATGTGGAAGGTTCTTAGAATGAAAAGTCCCAAACGTTGCTTTTTTTCAAAATCACTTTAGAACAACAACAACCAAAAAAAGAAAAGGCCTTGGAGTGGGGGGGGGGGAGGACTTCTAGCCTGTGAAACATTCATATGGCTGAATGTCTGCTTGGAAAAAAAGGAAAAATGAACATAAGAAATTGTACCTTGGTTTTTGCATTCACATTTGCCCCCTGTTTCAGAAGAAAGTTGACCATCTTCACATTACCATAGTGACAGGCCACAATTAAAGGAGTGTAACCAAGCTGTAAATAATAAACAGGTTAATAATAAATAATAATATATAGGTCACACACTCAAAGCATTATTTTTGAAATGGCTAATAGCCAAAGGGAGAGCAATTCTGTCTGGAATATTTCAGAAGGAATCCAAGTTGATTGTACAGTTTCACAGATGATATATGCATCTATTGGATACAAATATGGATAAGGACAGATTTCCCAAGCATATAGAACTTTATATCAGCCAGGGAGTCCTAAGATAGAGATAAGTTACTTTGCAAAGAATCAAGAGAAAAGCACAGGGGTGACTATTTGAAAACAGAGTAGAATGACTCAGGAAGAGACCCTGGAAAGGTATCACTAAGACAGGCTTAAGGATTGGGTTTGGTGAGCTGCTGATGGCTCACACCTGTAATCCTAGCTACTCAGGAGGCTGAGATCTGAGGATCACAGTTTGAAGCCAGCGTGGGGCAGGAAAGTCTATGAGACTCTTATCTCCAGTTAGTCAGCAAAAAGCTGGAGGTGGAGGTATGGCTCAAGAAGTAGAGCAATACCCTTGAGTGACAAAGCCAAGTGAAGGCATGAGATCTTGAATTCAGGGCATAGCACTGGCACACACACACACACACACACACACACACACACACACACACACACACACACACACACACACAATGGACTTGAATCATGGCTCAGAAAGGAAAGTGCTTCTTCCAGAACAAGGTCATGGAGAAAAGGAAGCACCGAAAGGAAAAGCAAAGACAAAGGACCAGCCAACTCAGTGAGGGAGAGGATGGACTTCACCCTGCAAAATCAGTGTTCTATTTGGTATCCTGACACCGCACTCTCCAGGTGGATTTGAGTTCAGCAAACCCTTAGCAAGAGGAATGACATCGTTTCAATGGACTTTTGAGAATGGGTGTCCTGGACCTGGGCTAACCTGGGTTAATGTAAGCATTTGGGAAGCATCCAGGTTGGAACTTGTTGCAGCCTTGACAGTAATGAGCTTTACCTTTGTATGAGCATCTTTGTCGGCCCCATGCTTCGTAAGAATATCAGCGACATTGACTTTATCTTCTTGGGCTGCAAGGTGTAAGGATGTGAGGCCACTCTGTGAAGAAATTGCAAACAGAGGGGACAATCAAAGAGGAAAATCTACACCATCGGCCTTTGGGGTTTGGTTTCTGTTTTTCCCACACTTGGGTTTCGAACTCAGGGTCTCATGCTTGCTCAGTAGCTTGCTTGCTTGACATCCTATTCCCTGAGCCATGCCTCCACTTCTCAATTATACTATATACCCTGAAAAACATCTCCTCTGCCAAGAAACTGCATCTTTTCCTAGCTAAGACAAACTCTTGAAGTGAAGGCTTTTGTTTTGTCTTCCTTTGTTTTGATCGGAGACTTATTCTCTGAGTTAACCAACACCTTCAGCAAATTATATTTTCTATTTTCTATATTGGGCATCTATGATGTGAGTTTTTAAAATAACTCAGCTAATAAGATTCGAAACAGCATTCATTTCAAGCCCACATGTGCCTCTGGCTGAATCTCTTTGTTTCTGTAAATAAGTTACCAAACAAATATTACTGCAATAGTATTAAAACCTTAGCAATAATTTGTATTTTCTATCAATAAAATATCATGTTACAAGAAATTAGTTCAGAATAATTTTCTCCAGCCTCTACAGTGTACATATTTTGGGGAGGGGGGAGGGTTTCCTCTAGATGCTAAATTTTAAAAATTAACTTTCACAGGTTTAAGGAGTATATATAAACGGGGTGGTTTTATGTAAAAATATTTGGTATATGTGCATTGGATTTATTTAAATATACAATTAAAGTACAGTTATGAATAAATAAAAAATGGGGGAGCAAGTAGGAGATAGAACAGTTTATTCAGTCAATACCACATATAGAAATCTCAATATACAAAAATAGCTCTCATCCAACAAAATTGGCATGTAAAGATTTAGCTGGGTAGTGGTGGCTCACACCTATAAACCTACCTATTCAGGACACTGAGAGTTATCATTCAAAACTAACCCCAAGCAGGAAAGTCTGTAAGACTCTTATCTCCAACAAACTACCAAAAGGCCAAAAATGGAGCTGTGGTTCAAGTGGTAGAGCACTTGCCTTGACTAGTAAAACTCAGTGTTTTGACTAGTAAAACTCAGTGTTTTGACTAGTAAAACTCAGTGCCAAGGCCCTGAGTTCACATCCAGGACAAGAAAAAAAATATCCTTAAATTTACAAAGGAGTTCTAGTCCAACATGTCCATTTGTGAGAATAATACACCTTGATGAATGTCGCCCCTTCCATCAATATCCTCATTTCTCCTAATCCATCCCCTCGATTTTCCTACTTAAGTTCCTGCCTTTATATTTTAGCTTATAGGGTATTCATATCTGTACTCCTCTCTCCTTATTATTATTAAATACCTTCCTCCTCTTCCTATGCATCTTGTAGCTATATTCTGAGGTAGATACCTGTGCTTGGAAAAACTTCGTATCCTCACCTCCAATTTACATTCAACTTTAACCCTGTTGAACACAGGCCTCTTGAATCTGGAATCCAGACCAGCAGAAATGAGAGCTGTCTGGGCTGACAGGGGCGCTTGCTCATGAGATCTGTGGAGTAGGCTCTCCTGACCCTTATGTCACATGATGAAACAGAGAAAACGAACCTAACAAAAGAAGTGGTTGAAGGGATGGAGGCATGGCTCAGTTGGTAGAGTGCCAGCCAATGAGCAAAGTCTCAGTCTTGGATGAGAGAAAGAAGGAAAGAAAGGAAAGGAAAGGAGAGGAAAGGGAAGGGAAGGAAGGAAGGAAGGAAGGAAGGAAGGAAGGAAGGAAGAGAGGGAAGGAAGGGAGGAAGGGAGGGAGAGAGGAAGGAAGGAGAGAGAGGAGAAAGGAGGGAGGAAGGAAGGAAGGAAGGAAGGAAGGAAGGAAGGAAGGAAAAATACCGAAAGAAAGAAAGAAGGAAGGAAGGAAAAGAAAGACAGAAAGGAAGGAAGGAAGGAAGGATTTGAAACTGCAGAGAAAAATCAAGATGCAAAAATATAGCCCATCCTGGTAGAGAAAAGCGACTACCTTGCTTCTCATGGTGTTCTGAATCCTTCTACATCTTGCCTCTCTTCCCATCTTTGAGGAATAGGCTACATCCCTGTGTCCTTTTCTTTTTGTTCTGAGTTATACTGGATTGTTTTCTATTCACCACCCCCTGAAAGATTCTTGGTTGCAGCCAGAGGCTAGAACCGAATACCTTGGTTGACATGTGGATGTTAGCTCCCTTGTCCAGAAGCAAAGTGACCATGTCTGCATGACCCTCCTGGGAGGCCAGGTGGAGTGGGGTGACTCCCTGCTTCGTCACAATGTTGGTCTCGGCTCCGTAATTCAGGAGTGTGGACGCGATCTGCATCTGATTCTTCTTGGCAGCGATGTGTAAAGGTGTGTAACCATTCTAACACAAGAATGAGAGCATACAGACAGACAGACAGAGAGAATGCTTAACAATTGCTGATATTCATAAATGTGTATTTCTAATGATAAATATATAAGTATACATAAAGAAAACATATAAGTATAATCATCAGAAAAGGTAAAAAACAAGGTGATAGTTAATCCAGAGTTCCACTTAATCAAAAGTTTCCTTTCAACCATTCACCATCTTCACCAAAGAGTGTCCCATTAGACCATGAGTCAGTTAATTACGGGCACAAAGAGCCCAGAGCTGAAGTCTCCTTATAATACTGGTTCATTCCTAAACAGTAATAGAAAATAAGGCAGGCTCTTCTTCTACTTCACAGTCCTTTAAGAAGTACCTGAGGGTGGATTTCACATCTTCCTGTCCAGTCTTCTCTTTTCCAGACTCCATTTCCTATTTCTTCAACTCTTCTTGACCGAAGTTCCATTTCTGTGCCTCTCTCCACTAAAAACAACCTATCCTGAGCTGACTAGATAGTGTGTCACATCACTATTGAATTGTGGGATCCAGTACTGCAGGCTATATTTTAGATGTTGTTCTAGTAATACATAATAAACTGGAATTCTTGCTATGTGTTTATTACTATCTTACTACTAATATGCTTCGGATGGGATTGCACTTTGAGCAATAAATGTTATTGGCATAAGCCAGGCAGTTGTAGAAATACAAAGGTGAGAGTGTCAGAACTGAATTTAAATAGCTGTCTCAAACAAAAAAGATTTTTTTTTAAATCAAGCTTCTAGTAACCCCTTGGTCAATGTAAATCTGAGATCCTCTTCTTCCCACAGCCTGCTCCTCATAACATGAGGTTATTGCCTCTCATACACTGCTGACAAGAGCCAAGTAGTACACTCTACACTTAAATGGAAACAAAATGAAAAAGGAAATGATTGGAACTAGTGTTACTCTAGAGCATACATTGTTTTCTTTCCCTTATCAAATCAGGTGGATTTTTTTCAAGAGCACTGCGTGAGACAGAAGTAAAAAACACTGGCTTTGTCACAATGGTGTTAACAGGATGTCAATTTGCTGCTTCTGGTGAGACCACAATAAGAGATATTCTGAGGTCCTGCCACCTCCTTAAATCTAACTGCAAAATGTGCAAAAGAAGGGAGAAGAAGGTGGAGGAGGAGGAGGAGGAGGAGGAGGAG